TTTCAAGTTTCTAGATTACTCTGTAATGATTAGGAGCCTTATCAATTACTTGATAATTGAATTGTGTTTTCTCTCTAAAGGCAACTGATCGAGAGGGAGATTCAATAACATATGCCATTGAGAATGGAGATCCTCAGAGGGTTTTTAATCTTTCAGAAACGTAAGTTAAAAATGACTTCTAACTTGTTCCCCCCTGCCTTTTTCTTAATATTAAACAATGTACTGCTAGGAAGAGAACAGACTTTTAATCAGAGGCTTTCAGCTATTTGTAGTTTTATTTTACCTTTTTTTCTATGAATGTTAATGACAGCTAGGAGGATAATTCTGAACCCAGAAATCTTACCCAAGAGGCTATTTATTTTTAACATTTTTACTTGGTAAAATCCACTGAGGTGGAAACATTCATTTGAAGGCATAACCTGGGATTAATTAGATCTCTTTAAAGTTGTCAGCCACTCATAATGATAAGGACATTTCTACAAAAGACAACTTAGCACCAAACTGTTTATTCAAAGGGAATCTTGTAGGTAAGGTATGTTACAAACACATTTAAGGTGGCACTGAAGTCTATCTTTCCATTTCTGATTAAGGTAGGTATGTTTTAAACAGCTAAAACATTTTTTAAAAAAATGCATGTCCATGCTAAACCTTTTTGAGGTCTAGATTAGCATCATTCTACTTATCTCTCTGAACACATCTGAGATAATATTAATCATAACTCTTGAGAAAACTGGGAGCAGGCATTAAAAGAAGGCATTTAGGTTTCCAGAGATCTTTTGTTTCCCCTCATCAATAGCAGGTAGCTGTTCTGCTGTCACATGTGGCTGGTTGATAAAAAGCTGTGCCTGCTTCCTCTTTGATATTTTCTGTGTGATTGTGACTGGCTGTACTTCTTGAAAGAATGAAAATGGAAACTTAGCTTATAATTATAAAGTGAAAACTAGGACAAATGAGCACCATTACTTCAGTCTCAGGAACACGTGGTACATAATACCAAATCAAGAAAACCATGTGTGGGTCACTTGGTTGACTGAGGAACACCACCAATTTCATATTGAATAGGATTTTGCAGCCATAGGTTAGTAGTGTCTGGAAAACCATAGACAAGAACAGTTATTTCCCAGACTTTTAGATTTCACAGGTGAATAAACTTCTATTTTAAAATGGAAAGGCTTAATTATTTTCAATTTTCCCCATCAAGATGTCAAAATCATAAATTAGCTACTTTACAGTTGCCATCGAAGAAATCTCAAAACTTTTTAAAGGAAAACTTTAATCAAGACTGTGTGGTATTGGCATAAAAATAGACACATAGATCACTGGAATAGACTTAGGAATCCAGAAATAACTTTAACATTTATAATCAATTGATTTTCAAAAAAGGGGTCAAGATAATCCAATCAGGAAAGAATTTTTTTTTTTTTT